AAAGTACAGTGCCTGCACTCTGCAGGAGGGGTGGGGATATTTCCAGTTTAGAGAGGTATATGAAGTGTAGTATCAGCGCGACTCTGGCAAGACAGTGATGGAATGAGGGAGGATGAAAGTGTTTCTTTTTTCTCGGGTTACCCTACCTAGATGAGAGACGGCCCATGTGTTACTATCGATAATATATATATATATATATAATATATATATATATATATATATATATATATATATATATATATATATATATATATATATAGTGTGTGTGTGTGTGTGTGTGTGTGTGTGTGTGTGATGAAGTAAATGCGAGGGTCTTGGCAAGAGGCGTGGAGTTAAAAGATAAAGAATCAAACATAAAGTGGGAGTTGCCACAGTTGCTCTTTGCTGATGACACTGTGCTCTTGGGAGATTCTGAAGAGAAGTTGCAGAGATTGGTGGATGAATTTGGTAGGGTGTGCAAAAGAAGAAAATTAAAAGTGAATACAGGAAAGAGTAAGGTTATGAGGATAACAAAAAGATTAGGTGATGAAAGATTGGATATCAGATTGGAGGGAGAGAGTATGGAGGAGGTGAATGTATTCAGATATTTGGGAGTGGACGTGTCAGCGGATGGGTCTATGAAAGATGAGGTGAATAATAGAACTGATGAGGGAAAAAGGGTGAGTGGTGCATTTAGGAGTCTGTGGAGACAAAGAACTTTGTCCTTGGAGGCAAAGGGGAATGTATGAGAGTATAGTTTTACCAACGCTCTTATATGGGTGTGAAGCATGGGTGATGAATGTTGCAGCGAGGAGAAGTCTGGAGGCAGTGGAGATGTCATGTCTGAGGGCAATGTGTGGTGTGAATATAATGCAGAGAATTCGTAGTTTGGAAGTTAGGAGGAGGTGCAGGATTGCCAAAACTGTTGTCCAGAGGGCTGAGGAAGGGTTGTTGAGGTGGTTCGGACATGTAGAGAGAATGGAGCGAAACAGAATGACTTCAAGAGTGTATCAGTCTGTAGTGGAAGGAAGGCGGGGTAGGGGTCGGCCTAGGAAAGGTTGGAGGGAGGGGGTAAAGGAGGTTTTGTGTGCGAGGGGCTTGGACTTCCAGCAGGCATACGTGAGCGTGTTTGATAGGAGTGAATGGAGACAAAGGTTTTTAATACTTGACGTGCTGTTGGAGTGTGAGCAAAGTAACATTTATGAAGGGGTTCAGGGAAAACCGGCAGGCCGGACTTGAGTCCTGGAGATGGGAAGTACAGTGCCTGCACTCTGAAGGAGGGGTGTTAATGTTGCAGTTTAAAAACTGTAGTGTAAAGCACCCTTCTGGCAAGACAGTGATGGAGTGAATGATGGTGAAAGTTTTTCTTTTTCGGGCCACCCTGCCTTGGTGGGAATCGGCCAGTGTGATAATAAATATATATATATATATATATATATAATTATATATATATATATATATATATATATATATATATATATATATATATATATATATATATGCAATAAAATCGCAAACAAGCCATCTTAACAATGCAGAATAAGTCACATGGGGATGTGACTTGTTCTGCGTCTTTCGCACTCTCGTGCATCTTCAGGAGCTATGCGATGGGATTCTGATGAGCTGGAGAGAGGAGGCAGATGAGAAACAAGAGATTACATAATAGGAACACTTCAGTCTGAAGGTCCCAAGGTGATAATTGCAGTGATGTATAACCCACCACAGAACAGCAGGAGGCCAAGGCAAGAGTATGATGAGAGTAATAGAGCGATGGTTGACACACTGGCTGAAGTGGCCAGAAGGGATCAAGTGAGCAGGGAAAAGCTGCTGATTATGGGTGACTTCAACCACAAGGAAATCGACTGGGAGAACCTGGAGCCACATGGAGACCCAGAAACGTGGAGGGCTAAGATGATGGGGGTGGTACTGGAAAACCTCACGTACCAACACGTAAGGGACACTACCGGAGAGAGAGGAGACGATGACCAGCGAGACTGGACCTAGTATTCACCTTGCGTGGTGCAGATATTGAGGACATCATATATGAAAGACCCCTCGGGGCCAGTGATCACGTGGTTCTGAGCTTCGAATACGTAGTAGAGTTACAAGTGGAAAGGGAAGCAGGAAGGGCAGGACGAGTGAAGCCAAACTACAAGAAAGGTGACTACGCAGCCATAAAGAATTTCCTGCAAGGGGTTCAGTGGGACAGAGAATTGGCAGGGAAGTCAGTATACGAGATGATGGAATATGTGGCAACAACATGCACGGAAGCTGAGGAGAGCTCTGTACCCAAGGGTAACAGAAATAACGAGAAAGCCAGGATGAGCCCTTGGTTTACCCAAAGGTGTAGGGAGGGCAAAACCAAATGTGCTAGAGAATGGAAGAAGTATAGGGGGCAAAACAGCGAAAACCAAATCTGACCCGAAGCTGTTGTACAGCCACATCAGGAGGAAAACAACAGTCAAGGACCAGGTAATCAGGCTGAGTAAGGAGGGGAGGTTACAAGAAGCCACCACGAAATATCTACGGAGCTGAACATGAGATTCAAAGAAGTGTTCACAGATGAGACAGAAGGGACTCCAGAAAGACAGAGAGGAGGGGTACACCATCAAGTGTTGGACACAATACATACAACCGGGGAAGAAGTAAAGAAGTTGCTAAGCGAGCTAGATACCTCAAGGGCGATGGAGCCGGATAACATCTCTCCATGGGTTCTGAGAGAGGGAGCAGAGGCGCTATGTGTACCACTAACAACAATCTTCACCACATCTATCGAAAGAGGGCGACTACCAGAGGTATGGAAGACTGCAAATGTAGCCCCAATTTTTAAAAATGGAGACAGACACGAAACATTAAACTACAGACCAGTGTCACAGACATGTATAGTATACAAGGTCATGGAGAAGATTATCAGAAGAGTGGTGGAACATCTAGAAAGGAATAAGCTTATCAACGACAGCCAGTATGATTTCAGGTACGGGAAATCCTGTGTCACAAACCTACTGGAGTTCTATGACAGAGTGACAACAGTAAGACGAGAGAAAGAGAGGGGTGGGTAGACTGCATTTTCTTGGACTGTAAGAAGGCGTTTGACACAGATCTACACAAGATATTAATGCAAAAGCTGGAGGACCAGGCAGGGATAACAGGGAAGGCACCACAATGGATCACGGAATACCTGTCAGGAAGACAACTGCGAGTCATGGTACATGGCGAGGTGTCAGAGTGGCGCCTGTAACGAGCGGGGTTCCACAGGGGTCAATCCTAAGACCGGTGCTGTTTCTAGTATTGTGAACGACATAAAGAATTCAACCGAACAAGACCAGGCAGAACTACATAGGGATCTGGACAAGCTGCAGGCCTGGTCCAGCAACTGGCTTCTGGAGTTTAACCCCACCAGAAGGAGTACAGTCTAGGGGGCCAGAGACTGCAAACCTTACTCAAGGAAAAGAATCTTGGGGAGAGTATAACACCGGGAACATCTCTTGAGGCGCACATCAACCAAATAACTGTTGCAGCATACGTGCGCCTAGCAAGCCTAAGAACAGCATTCCGATATCCTAATAAGGAATCGTTCAAGACACTGTACACTATGTACGTTAGGCCCATATTGGAGTATGCAGCACTAGTTTGGAACCCACACCTAGCCAAGCATGTAAGGAAACTAGAGAAAGTGCAAAGGTTTGCAACAGGACTAGTCCCGGAGCTAAGGGGTATGTCCTACGAGAAAAGGTTAAGGGAAATCGACCTGATGACACTGGAAGACAGAAGAGATAGAGGGAATATGATAAAGACATATAAAATACTGAGAGGAATCGACAAGTTGGACAGAGACAGGATGGTCCAGAGATGGGACACAGCAACAAGGGGTCACAGTTGGAAGCTGAAGACTCAGATGAATTACAGGCATGTTAGGAAGTATTTCTTCAGTCACAGAGTTGTCAGGAAGTGGAATAGTCTAGGAAGTGATGTAGTGGAGGCCACTTTAAGAAGAAGTATGATAAAGCTCATGGAGCAGGAAGAATGACCTGGTAGCGACCAGTGAAGAGATGGGGCCAGGAGCTGTGAATCGACCCCTGCAGCCACAAATAGGTGAGTACAACTAGGTGAGTACACACACACACACACACACACACCATATGTTTTTGCTTAAAAAAAAATAAAAAAATTGTAGTGTATACGACGATGCGCTAAACCTGTATGGGTCATTCGGTGCATGACATGGTGGAGGCTCGATACCCCGTTTGCTAATTACAACCTGATCATTTAAGTTTAATGCTTAGCTATTACTGTTCAAGCACTGTTGCTCATGAAGTGTTCTGGCACTGTTGCTCAGACACTGTTGCTGGAGGTGCCAACCCCCCATCCCCCCCACACACTCACGCTGCCAAACATGTGCGTGGTGTTCTATTTGTGCAGCTCTGCCATTATGGAACAATCCCATCAAATCCCTCGAGGCAGGGAGGAGTGGAGGAGAGAAAGTTAAAGAAGATTTTATATTTTGCAGTGGAGGGAGGATTTAATGCTGCTTGCAACAAAATGTAAGTAGTTATGAGTTCCAGTATCCATTAGGCAAGGGGAAAATGGGTCGTTCTGAGTTACATTGTCGCTGCAAATATTTAAGCGCCAGATCACATTAAAAATTAAAATGGACAGAGAATTGACAATAGAGTATTAGGAGCTACATTGAGTTTACAGTCCACACCATGCAAATGTTTTTAGTGTAAGTTGTTTTTAGAAGGGGACAGGACAACTATTCTATTCTCACAAGTAATCCACAAACTGGAAATATTAACTGGACGTTTTCATTTTGTGGATTAGCTGTGATTTGTATGAGCCACGGATATGACTATTATTCTATTCTACGTTGTGAGCAGCGGCAGCAGCAGCAGCAGCAGCAGCATCGAGAGGCAGGATGAGGTAGGAGCCAGCGTTAGTGTAGCATGAGTGAAGCAGACTGCTAGAGTGCACGGGGGCGGAAGTTTTACACTTGAGAGGGTCACCCAGGGAAGTAGACTGACCTGGGTCGTGAGGACGGGCGGGGATGTCTGGGTTGATGGCAGCCTCTGCGGCGGCCAGCAGCTGCATGGCCTCAGGGTCGTGGTCGTCGACAGCTCGGCGTAACAGCGTGTACTCGTCCACCACTTCCTCATAGTCGTGCTCGTGGTAACCTGTTGAACCCTCGCCACCGCCGTCCGATCCACCAGTGAGAGCAGAGCCAGAGCTGCTCTGGCTGTCTTGGTGGCTGTCACGGCGGCCGGAGGCGGTGGCGGCGTGAATGTTGGCCGCGATGTACGTGGTTGGTAGTCCTGTTAAGTAGGCGTGCACTTCCGGTCGCACTCTAATCCGTACTACCTGCCCGCTGCTCCGCCCTGCCACTGTCAACACTGTGCCTTCCTCGGAGTCGGTAGTGCCTCTGCCCTCGGACCTATGAGTCGCGCCCGGGGCAGAAGCAACCCCGTTTTTTGGCTGGGCACTGTGACTAGAGGGTGAGCCCGAGGGCTGCTTCAGCACTCCCTGCACACGCGTGCCGGGAGTGCCTCGCCCAGGAGACTCGTGAACTCCTGCAGTAACACCGACGTCACTTGCACGTGGCACAGCACTGATCGCACGCGTCACGCGCTCCCCCGAGGCGGGTTGGGCTCCTCCCCCTCCCTTGCTTCCCCTCCCCCTGGCGTCCGTGGCAGGCGCCGCCCCCACCGCACTATCATTGTGTTTGTGAGGTGGTTGGTAGGGGCGGTCGCGGTTGGGCAGCGCCGGCGTGGACTTTATAGTGACGAGGGCGGGGGTGGGCATCCACTCCAGCTTGGAGCCTCCACCAGGCAGGTTCACCCACACTAGGGACCCGCTGCCCCTCTCCGACGCGCGCTTTTTATCTTCCGGTGGACCATACTTGGCCCCTCCGCCTGGCTGTGGCCTCCATACCGCGAGTGTGTGTGTGTCCTTTTCACTGACACCAGCACCGCCCTTCTGTTTCACTGGATCACTCGGTTGTGCCTTTGCTTCTGCGTGGCTGGCCTCACAAGATTTGTCCCTGGGCTCTTCCTTTGACACTGCACTGGAAGTGACGCCAGGCTGGGACTTGGCAGCAGCGGGGACCTCCTCAGGTAGATCCTGCGCTCTCTCTAAAGGTTTCTCTTGTTTACGACTGGAGTACTTATGATGATGCTGACCTCTCACCGCCTTCCTGTTACGAGCATCAGCATACACCAAGTCCTTTGGCGGCGCTGAAGGTGGCGGGCTCTCTAGGGAAAGTGGGGAGTCTTTATCAGGGTACGATGGCAGATGTTTCTCTGGTGGAGAGAACAACTTGGAAGGTGTCTTCGCAGATGATGCTTTTGTGTCGTGTACGGGAGTCGTCTTCTCCGCGGTGAGAGGAGGTTGCTTCTTGTCGGGTGAGGGTGTTGGAGGTTCGGATTTAGGGGGAACAACCAACGTGAGTTTAGGTTGATTGAAGGATGTGATGGTGACCTTCTTGGGCTGGTCGTTGGGTTGCGCGGGTGTGGGCGGCGCGTGAGAGGTAGTGTAGCGGGGAGCGCCGCTCCCTACAGCGGACTGACTTGCAAGCGGGCCAGGAGCCCCGCCACGCGTATGGGGCTGCTGGTGGTGGGGCAGGAAGTGGTGGTGCTGGAGGAGTAGCGGCTGGTGGCGAGGCTGGTGCAGGAGTGGTGGCTGTGCGGCGCACTTGACGCGCACCCCAGGACTGCCGCCACCACCGCTGCTCGGCCCCCTCGCGCCCCCCATCTCCGCCCCCTCACCACCCAACACCCAACCACCTCCTGACCCCCCTTTTCCGTACCCAGAGTCACACCCACCGTCAGGTTCAGGCAGATTCTCGCGAATCTTGGGGAGAGGGGCACGTCTCTTTAAGGTCTCGCTCTCCAGACTGGTCAGCTCGTCGTCACCTTCGTCACCGCTCTGCATCTTCCGCTGCTCCGCCGCCTTCCACTCCCACCAGTTGCGGCCTCGTCGTCCCTCCACTCTGGCCTTAGGCTTATCCTGGACGGCAGGAGGTGTGGCCTCACCCTCCAGCGACCCGCTGCTCTCCTGTAGACTAGGCAGAGAGGAAGAGATTTGCTGTGAGTTTTGACTATCCCGCCTATCCGCGTCGCCTACTGGGTCCTCCTCGTCCCTTTTACACACACATGGTCCCCCTCCTGCCTGGGCGCCTTCCTTCCCTCCCATGTCTCTCTGGACCTATTACTACTCCCCCTCTCAACACGTGTCTTCACAAAATCATAACATAACAGATTTCCACGTTAACATAACCCAAACTGGGGACCCTGAATTCTCTTTTTGTTCTCACTCTTTGCTTCGTTCTTTATACTTTAATCTTTGTTGGCTTTATGCCGTGCATTCTCAAGAGCTGGGTAAACACAAGTCTTAAGGTCTTGAAGTAGCGCAAGTGTTTTTGTGTTGCTTGAGTTTTGCACTCGGACTTAGTGTGGCCGCAACACCAGAGACTGTGAGTCCGTAACAGAGGTTGGGCTCCTTACATTGCACTAGGGACTCGTTTGAAAAAAAAATGACAGGTGATGAGGCTGGAGTCAGTACCTCAGCTATAAGGTGAGAGGGGCGAGTAACAGTCGCCTGTGGCACCCCATCTATAAACTGAGATGGGCGTGCAACAGCCTGCAGTGCCCTGTGTATAAGTAAAGACGGGCGTGTAAAAGACTGGGGTGTCACATCTATAAGTCGAGACAGATGTTTACAATCGAGCGATGCCGTCTATATGTGGAGACAGGCGTCTACATGCCTACCAAAGCGACGGGTGAAGAGAGGGGAAGAAATATGTTTCGCGAAGCAAGATTATTTGTTAGGGCGGCGAGGGAACGGTGAAGCAGGAGACGGCGGCTGCTGCAGAAGGCGGAGACGGAGGCGAGCACTGCACCACCAGGCGCCAGCCAACCACCCTGCAACACCAGCAGGAAAGGTTGACACCACCAATACAACTCAGCCTACAGCGAGGGAGCATCACAAGCTCAACAAGGTGAAGCTAAAACATAACAAGAATCAGTAAAAAATAAATAAGTCTTAAAAACTTAACAGGAACCATAGAACTGAGAACCACTGAAGAAGGCTCCTCATCCAAAGAACTGGAGCTACCCTCCTTTTCCTCAGATCAAACCTCATTACCTATCCTTCTCTTTCCACAAGGTTCTGCATGTATTCCCTAACTGGATTAGCACTTCCCCATGAATTTAATAATAATTATAATAATAGTAATAATAATGATGATGGAGAATGCCTGTGCTAACCTACCATCACATGATATGACACTGATATTTAAACAGGTGGACTGGTGAGCCAGTGGAAGGCCTCTATCATACGACCAAAAGCTCCAGTGAGAGAGTCATCACATGACCCCAAAGCTCCAGTGAGAGAATCATCACTTGACCTCAAAGCTCCAGTAAGAGGGTCAACACAAAAACATTTTCCCATGTCTTGTGATAAAGAAAACACCTTAACTTACACTTCAACACTATTATTGTTTAGCGTTGATGATGGGGGTGTAGAAGGGAAGGGATTTGTGGCTGGGTGTTGAAAGCGAATCAAACATCACAATCATATATTCTGATTCCTTTTATCTTAGTGTCGTCTCACACACACACACACACACACACACACACATACACACACACACACACACACACACACACATACACACTTGATCAAGCACGTCAAGAAATTAGACAAAGTGCAAAGGTTTGCGACAAGGTTAGTTCCAGAGCTAAGGGGAATGCCCTATGAAGAAAGGTTAAGGGAAATCGGACTGACGACACTGGAGGACAGGAGGGTTAGGGGAGACATGATAACGATATACAAAATACTGCGTGGAATAGACAAGGTGGACAGAGGCAGGATGTTCGAAAGAGGGGACACAGAAACAAGGGGTCACAACTGGAAGTTGAAGACTCAGATGAGTCAAATTGATGTTAGGAGGTATTTCTTCAGTCATAGAGTAGTCAGGAAGTGGAATAGCCTAGCAAGTGAGGTAGTGGAGGCAGGAACCATACATAGCTTTAAGATGAGGTATGATAAAGCTCATGGAGCAGGGAGAGAGAGGACCTAGTAGCACTCGGTGAAGAGGCGGGGCTCACTGCAACCACAATTAGGTGAGTACAAGGGGACACAATTGGAAGTTGAAGAGTCAAATGAATCACAGAGATGAAGTTTTCTTCAGTCACAGAGTAGTCAGGAAATGGAATGGTTTGGGAAGCGATGTAGTGGAGACAGGATACATTCATAGCTTTAAGAAGAGGTGTGATAAAGCTCATGGTGCAGGGAGAGTGACCCAGTAGCGGCCAGTGAAGAGGCGGGGCCAGGAGCTATGAGTGGACCCCTGCAACCACAACTAAGTGAGTACACACAGCTTTAAGAAGAGGCACACTAAGGATCTCGAAGCCAGAAGTGAACCTAGCAGCGACGAAAGAAGATAAGGGGCCAAGAACCGACAATCAACCCCTGTAACCACATATAGGCGAGTACATATGAACACACACACTGAAATAATCAAATTAGAAGACAATAAAATACTACTGGATATGAAGCAAGGAGAAGCACCAGAATCAGGTGAGTTGTCACCATGAATTTTAAAACACTGTGTAGAACTAACTTATCAACTCCGGAAGCAAGTGGAAAATGGTAATGTTAAAAGAAGGAGGTATAAGCTGTTTTAACAAAAGGCCTTTTTTCACAAACTTTATCATGAATATGGAAAAAATCCATTAATACGAGGTGGTTAAAGCACATCTATTATTATTATTATTATTATTATTATTATTATTATGAGCGGTTAGCGCTACACATAGTGGGGTCAAACGGCACGCGTAAAACATCTGCGGGAGCAAGAACTGCTATCACCATAGTGGGTTTACAATATGATGAAGAATTAGATACATGTGCAACATCTGAGTATCTCAATTTGTAGAAGTTTCCACCATCCAGAACACCGTAGGTGCTCTTCACCAACTCCAAGACTGAGGGACTGATTACCTTATCTTTTGCATATAGTTTTACAGTCTTCACATTATGTCTTTGTACTGTATTGATAAGCCACTGGATGGCGAAACGTCTACAAATCAAGATACCCAGATGTTGAACATGTGTCTAACTCTTCATCTTGTCGGTACTATATAACATTTATATACAACGGGTTGACAATAAGCAAAATTCTGTATATCAAATCTACTAATCCCTTCACGAGAGGGGGGGGGAGGGGGTTCCCTTGATGCTGGTGACGAACTCTTGATTTAGGGAACTGTGGTTACCTTCCCATTCCTTAGACCAAATCTTATCATCCGCCATTTGTCAAGCGTAGTCAGATTGCTTCCAATTAATAATAATGAATGTACTATGATAGAGTTGCATTACTTATACAGGGAAACAATGATACATTGATCAGATCGAAAAAAAAAAATTAACAGACCTTCCTCATAACTAATCTGCACATTATATATTATAGGAATAAAAAGGGGAAACTCTTACAATGGATGAAAAACTCTTTGAAAGGAAAATACAAACAGCGATAGGGAAAAAAATATTCTCATGAAGAATGTAATAACGGAATCCCACAAGACTCGATACTTGCCCCAGTATATATATATATATATATATATATATATATATATATATATATATATATATATATATATATATATATACAATAAGATCACAGTAAACAGGTGATTTTAAAATATGCAAAACAACCGCTGTGAAAGAATAGTGAAATTCCAAGCGGTTTCGTGACTACTCACATAGTCAGTTCCTTGACAATGTGAGTAGTCACGAAAGCGCTTGGAATTTCACTACTCTTTCACAGTGGTTGTTTTGCATATATATATATATATATATATATATATATATATATATATATATATATATATATATATATATATATATATATATATATATATATATATATATAATTTCTAAAACGGAATAAATCAGATGAACACGTTTAAAGATGATAATATATATTATGGAGCTGTAAACCCGTGGGTCGTTCAGCGCTAGGAGTGATGGAGGCTCGATTCTCAGTGTGCAAACTGTAAGGGAAATAAACTACCTTACTAGTGCTTACCTATTGCAAACTACACACATTTCATTGCACAATAATGAAATGAATGTAAATTCCTGCAATAAGACTTGGATGAAGTGAACAGAGTAACAGAAGGATTAGGCTAGGTAAAATTTGTCAGGAAACAGGACAAGTGTTTCCTGACGCGGGTCTTAGTCATATGATGACCCGCAGCTGGAGCTTTTGGTCATCTGACCGAGGCCTTTCACTGGCTTACCAATCCACCCCTTTAAAAAAATGTGCTTATAATTAACAGAAAGATGAAGTAATATGACAAACTTATCTAAATGAAGATTTCAAAGCGTGATAAATTACTGAAATTATTGGATGTAGAAATGCTTACACCCGGGATGTATACAACCAGAGGTGTATTTCTCTCAGTGCATATATGCTGAGAATTTACTTTAATTTTTGTCTTTATAATAATAATAATAATAATAATAATAATAATAATAATAATAATAATAATAATAATAATAATAATAATAATAATAAGAAGAAGAAGAAGAAGAAGAAGAAGAAGAAGAAGAAGAAGAAGAAGAAGAAGAATATAATTATAATAATCTTCATTTCTACAGGCACCTGTACGTACAGTGTATATAGGTCAAACTGACATCAATGATATATTACTACATAGAAAGTCCCTTGTTATGCAAAACATTTCGGTCAAATTAGGTCAATTTTGTCCCCGGGATGCGACCCACACCAGTCAGCTTACACCTAGGTACCTATCTACTGCTAGGTGAACAGGGACAGCAGATGTTTGTTTAGGATTAAAACATTCTTCATTGTTGATGAAAAGGTTAAGAAAAGGTCAAGTGCAGTCTTAATTAATGACCCGAGTGTAGTTATTAACACAAAAATAGTTTCCAACATGTTAGAAGGAAATTGGAATAAACAGCGGCAGTGTTGTGCAGACTCTCAAAAATGTTGATAAACTAGAACAAGTTCAACACTACGCCACAAACTGACTCCTTGAATTAAAATAATATAATCTTAAAAAAAGACTAAAATACACAAATGTCCTCGTTTTCGATAAGATTACCACAGATAAACTCATAAATGGAGTTGACAAATATAAACAAGGTTATCTTAGCACTGTTAACTAGGATAATATGAGGCCACGACTGAAAACTGAAGAGTAGTGGAACACAGAAGTGAGACCCAGAAGTTAGTAACATTTACAACAACATGAAACACTGAAGACGAGACACCACCATAATACGTCAATCACAAACTGGCACACACACACACACACACACACACACACACACACACACACACACACACACACACACACACACACACACACACACATACACACACATTCTGTCTCTCTCACTTTCACATACAAAACATTAACGATTTCGGACCATGTGAAGTTAAACTGATTTCTAACAAGCCCACCAGTTAGATTGTTAGTGATACATGGAAGGAATGGAAACGAGTGTACAAGACTGTATCAGTAAATTATAATAAATTTATACACAAAAAGAAAGACTTACTTATTACAAGGTAAACATCAACACCAGGTGTCAGAAAACATTCTTACGTCTCCACGAGCACCCGAATCAAACCCAAGTTCTACAGTTGTTAACCGAAGGAAATACCATTTCTCTTTTATTTTATAAAGTGCTAAACCCACGTGGCTCATTAAACCCAGTCAGTGGTATAGGGTCGATCCTCCTCCGTCTGTTTTTCAACACGTTCACTCTTCGTATAAATTCAGTCAAATACTGAACCGAGAGGGTTATTATCCTGGCAGACATCAGCAGGTAGCCACAGGAGTGTACAAGTGTGCGTGGCGAGTGTACACACCGTCACAAAATAAGT